GACAGAGAGAGAGAGAGAGACAGAGAGAAAGTTTTCTCATAAAGAGGTTTTCTCCACAGACCATAGGGAGAGTAACAGTAAGGTACGACAGTCACATACTTAACAGTCTGTCTAGGATTGACATCAATGAGAGCTTGACTGCTCTAGAAGATTATAACCTTCAGAAATGCAAATTCCCTATGCTCCAACAATGGAAAACACAACTTACAGGAAAAAGGCATGCCTCTCATGGTAAGGATTCATTGTCAGGAAATTTAATCACAAACATAATGAGATTTTTTTTTATCTGAATACTATACAAACAATTTTCTTTACTTTCAGGAAAGAAGAAAGAAAGAGAGAGAGAGAGAGAGAGAGAGAGAGAGAGAGAGAGAGAGAGAGAGAGAGAGAAAGAAAGAAAGAAAGAAAGAAAGAAAGAAAGAAAGAAAGAAAGAAAGAAAGAAAGAAAGAAAGAAAGAATTTACTAAGTGCCTACTATGTGCCAGGCATTGAGCTAAGTATTTTACAAATGTTAACTTATTTGATTCTCACAACAACCCTAAGAATTAATTGTTATAATTATCTCCTTTTTTATATATGAGAAAGCTGAATCAGAAAGAGGTCAGTTGCCTTGCTCAGGGTCACATAGTCAGCTAGTCACCTGATTTGAACTCAGGTCTTCCTGATTCCTGACTTCCTGACTCTGATCGCTGCACTATCTAGCTTCCTCAGAATCACAAATTTGATCTGGAAGGGACCTTAGAGGCCATGTAGTTCAACCCCTTCCTTTTGCATCTACTAAAACTGAAGCCCAGAGGGTTCAATGACTCATCTAAGGTCACATAGCTTCTAAATGACACAGCCAGGACTTGGACCTAGTTCCTCTTCCCCAAATCCAGTGTTCTTCCCATTACTACATGCTGCCTCTCCTGATGACACCGATTTGGGAGACATCAAGATTTAAGAGGATGGAAGAAAGATAATGAATTAGGAAAGGAAAAAGGAAAAAGTAGAAACACTCACATTGGCAAGAACAAATTCTCCTTTCAATGATCAGAGAATCCCTTTCTCAGGAAATAATAGTCACTTCTGAAAAAATGAAGATTAAAGGAAGTAAATACAACACTTATATTTTAAATAATTGATTTCCTGAAGCAAGACCCTGCAACACTCTGCCACAAACTATACAACATTGGTCATGTTTTCCTTTAGAATTTCAGGACTGAAGGTTGAAGTGAGGACATCCTTTTCAGTCTCTTCATTCAGGGAAGACTATGCTTGCCATCCAAGATGGTAGCTGTTTACTTAGGTATATCCCTACCCTTCTAGTGTTACAAAGACATCCTCTGTGGGTTGTGGACTCCTGGATTTACTTAATCATTTTTCTCTTTCAATTTAAAAACTTTAATTTTCACTCATTTTAATTTTAATTCAACTAATTTTATTCCATTAATTTAATTTTAACTTAATTTAATTTTGACTCATTTTTCCCTTTTAATTTTAAACTCAGGGTAGATTTAGTAAAAGTTAGCCAAGAAAGGAGAAAGAATAGCTTGTGTATGACTGGACCAATGGTAAAAGACAAAGTCCTTTATCTTTACGCCAGTGTAGCCCAGTGGGAAGGGCACTGGTTCTGAAGTCAGAGCTCTAGAGGTTAAACTTCAGCTCTATAAAACCATGAGCAAGTCATCTCTCTCTATAGGTCTCAGTTTCTCCATCTGTGAAATATAGAGTTGGACTCAATAGTCTCTAAGTTCTATAACAGCTCTATTCCTATGACTCCATGAGCTCCCAAGTGCAAACAGCTGATGGAAGTTGAGCCTAGACGTTGGATTTCCAAAGGTAGTAACCCAGTGTCTTTGTAATGTTCTGAGGTCCTTCATGTCAGACTTTCATATCCTTTGTTTCTATGAAAGACCACATCTTTCAGTTATTAGCTCCAAAAAAGATGTTGACTAGTAGGTCTTTTCTGAATATTAGGAAAACTTTATTTGGATTTGAAGACATAATTATTTATCTGTGTTGAATAACTTCCAATTCTTTAACCTTTCCTGTTCTTCATGGACCATCTTTTGTAATCGCTTTTATATCTGTTCTTTAACTTCCTCCCATCCTTCTCAAAATCTGGTAACCCAAACTGAACATAATAGTCCAAAGAGCTACCAATGCCCAGGGAAGATGATTTTCCATGTTTGTAAGGCTCACTCCTGTGAACAACTTTAATTAGTACTTTTTAATAATGTTCAGAGCATGGTATCCCCACTTTTTGCTGTATTTATTCTAGGATGCTCATCTCTCCTCCCCCAGCTGTGCCTTTTTGTCAAACACCCCCATGATTTTAAAGCTTCACAACACTAAGACCATGGCAATTATATTGGCTCCCTACCTGAGAAAAATGACTTTGCCTAGGCATCTACTCATTAAAGTGTATTTTATTTAGATACATCAACAACTTGTTATACAAAAATAAAAATGAGATCACTGATCCTTCTTGCATTCCCCCCCCAAAAAATCCCTAACATTTCTTAAGGGCTTTTTCATGTCTCAAAGTTCCAAAAACCCCCTCTAATTTTCAACTTATTAATGCAATGCTATTTCTTTTATGCTCTGGTTCTGTTAACTTTTGACTAAAATCAGAATACTGGAGGGTGTTCAGTGAAGGCCAGGAGGCAGATTTCACTTCCCCATTGAGCATTCCAAGTACATCCATCAAGTCATTACAATATTCTACACATCTGTCAACATTTGCCAGCCTATCTCACACACACATATATGCACCCCAAGAAGATTCTCATAAAATATTCACGAACCTTTGCCAGTTACAAATTCTTCTCATTCCAGATAAGAGTCAATGGCAACACTGCCCAGAAGTGAATGAGAACTCTTCTCGAGGAATAAAGAGTCCAGATGTACACTCTGATTTCATGAGACACCCCAATTTGGGGAAGTAAATTCAATTCCATTCCAAATTGCACTTTGTTCTTTGATTTAAAAGTTGAAGGCTGTGGCTGCAGACAGCAAACATACTGATGGAGAACTCTAAAAATGAGTCCATTTGGATGAAAGGTGATTTACCTTAATGATCATGACAATGAATGAGGTAGCTGTGGAGCAGAGGAAAGAGCAGAAGGCCTTAATGCAAATCCTGCCTCTGTCATTCCAACCTGTGTGATCTAGGGCAAAACACAGAAACTCCCTGGGTCTCAGTTTCCTCAACTGTAAAATGAGGGTCAGGGTTAAATTCACTGGTCTCTAAGGTCTTTTTTTTTTTTACTCTCAGTCTATTACCAATCCTACATGACCTGAAGGAAATTAAATCAATTATTTGATTTCAAGTCAGGCATTGCACTGAGGCAGAAAGAATTTTGAAACTAGGATCCACCATTAACAAATTGTATGTTTCTGGACAGATCACTGCATCTTTATGTTCCTCAGTTTCCCCATCTATAAAGTGACACAGATGAGACTAGATGACCTGAAAAGACTGTAATGATGAGGATGGTGTGTATACTTTATTCTCTTTCCATATGATTTTGATTTCTTCTACCAGGAGCTTATAAATCAAACTCCTTTCCTTCCAAAGAGTTTATGCTTGGTGTAGTAACAATTGTTAAAAAAAATATACTCTTAGTTGTGCCCTCTTAGGACAATTAAAATAAGTCTAATTCTTCCTTTACTTCCTCTATTTTACTTATATATTTCAAACACAGCCCACCTATTTAGCTATATTATGTATGGTCCCCAGCTACCCCTCCCCCTCTAAAGGCATTTTCTCAGGCTGTTTAATAAGCTCATATACAGGATAACAGAGCATTCACTCATCAGCTGGCTTCTGATGAAGCTTCTGACTCTAGTTGGATCAGATCAATCTGTGTTACCCCATGACATACAAGGGGACAGTGGGTGTCTCCAGATTATTTCCCATTTCCTAAGCTTCCCATTCACTAGATGGAAGATATTCTTCCTGTCTATCAGTTCTTCTTTGGGCCAATCAAGTAAAGGAATTAGAAATGACGTGGCTGGCTAATATACCATAAATAATCTTGACCAGGAGAATGATACAAACTGATCCTCTCACCCTGCTGAAATAATGATAATTCATAGGTAATATGAATATGTAACAAATAATTAAAATATGATGTTATTGATGAATGTTTTAAAAGAAAATGGTAAAATTGTATGTCATTATAGAAAATTCCAAGTTGTTCAAAAAGTTGATACACCAATAGACAACAAATTTCTGTACAAATATATGTGTGTGTGTATATGCACATATATATAGTCCCAGATATCCTTGACAATTCAACAAAGTGTACTAGAACCTGAATATCATCACACACAACACTGTTGCCCACAAGTGCCCTTGAGAGGGTTATTATCTCAAAATGCCTTTTTGGGCAGGGGCAGTAAACTCTTCCTCCTTAGGTCCTCAAACAGAGGCTGGATGACCAAGCGCTAGTGGTGTTGTCAAGGTCATTTTCACTCAGGAAGAGGTTGGACTGGATGGCCCTTGGGGACCCTGCAAACTCTGGAATTCAGAGGATAGGTCTTGTAGGATATGGGAGATATATAGCTTTATCAAATCAGTAATGACAGAGTCTGTCATACCCAGAAACATAGCCCCCCACACACACACACACACATCCAAATGATTTTCCAGGCAAAAAAATGGTTTCCAGGCAAAAGCTGTGAATATTTTGGCACTTTAGATGAAATCTGATTTTGTCAGACCTTACTCTCCCCTCTTCACTTTCTCCTTCTTTCACTTTCTTTCTCCTTCTCTTCTTCCCATTTTCTAGAATCTACTATAGTATCAAGGATAGAGTCCTAGTCTAGGAATTTAAATCTCATATCTAACACCTACCAGTTGTGTGAACCTGGTGCCCTAACCTAATCTGAGCTCTGAAATCTTCACCTGTAAAACTGAGATAAGATACCTGCAGTGCCCACCTCACTGGGCTATATATGAAACTCAAATGAAACTCTGGAAGTTTCATTTTCATTATTATCATTACTGTTAGGGGCGGTCGGCCCTAGACGCCTGAGCGGATAGGAACCTCCCTGGGAGTGAGAGCCCCCAATCCCAGAAAGACACGGCTCCCTACACGGGGTACGTGTAAGGATGGGATTGGGCGAGACTCTTTGCTCCATACAGGTGGCAGGTTTCGCCCTCGGGGCGGATTGGGGTGGCCACCCGGAAGACAGACCCTATATAGACCAACGCCCCAGCTTGCTCGGGGGATTCCTCCGCAATTAATAAAACATATGCCTCCCGAAGCAGTGTCTGACTGAGTCCCTGCCCGCCGTCCCCCGGGGAGGGAATCCGGAGACGTCCGAAGCGGAACCCACCGAGAGGAGCTCGCTCGGGGTCCGGCAATAGAACCGGACAGCTGGCGCCCGAACAGGGACCTCCGTCCCCGCCGAGCGAGGTAAGCCCCCTTAGCTAAGAGGGGAAGAGTCAGACGCCCTAGGTTTACGGGGCACCTAGAAGTAGACATGGGAAACAGAGTAGTGAAACAGTTTAAGCCGGAGGATACGGGAGTATTAGCATGTCAGATCTTTACGTTGTGTAAGAGTTCAGGCATAAAAATACATATAAAGGAGTGCAGGGCGTGGGTGGAAAAGATCCTGAAAGTCTCCCCTTGGATCGCCCATACAGGGGTAGGTCTAACGGAATGGCAAGTAGTGGGCACCCAAATGTCCTCTTTTCACCACGTGGATCCCGAGTACTTGATACCCCGGGATTTCACTTTGTACGCCACAGTGGCAGCTGCTCTGAAGCCCGAACCGCCTCCGTGCCTAGTGCCACAAGAAGTACAGACGGGGGCCTCACTATGCGGGGAGGGGGAATGGCCACCCCCCCCGGGCCCGGAGGGCCTAGAAGGGTTGGAGGAGGGACCCCCTATTTATCCATGGCGAGAGATGCGGGCGCTGCAGATCATAGACAAGCCCCACGCGCCGGCCGCGGCTGAGCTCAAAAACGAAAGTAACACCGAAGAGCCGCTGGCTGTAGAAAAATCGTGCCGCGGGGCCCGCAGCTGCTGTGGCTCTCAGGCTAAGACACCACCAGTACCGGGGGCCCCCTCAGGCCCTCATCGATCTCGGCTCCATCAGGCCATTCATACCGCTTTGGAGCGAGGTGAGGCAGTAGATGAGGAGGACTTAAATCTGTTAACACAAGCTCCCTCCGCCTTCCCCGTGTTTGTACAAGTGGAGAATGGTCAGACAGTCCGAGTACGTCGACCTCTGCCTTACAAATTTATAAAGGACCTTAGGGAGGCTGTAAAGTCTCATGGCGCGGGCTCAGCCTATGTCAAACGACTACTCGCCTCCTCAGTAACAGTAGCAGCGTGGCTCCCAGGTGACTGGGAGGAGACCATGCAGGCTATACTAGATCCGGCTCTTTTCACAGCCTGGGCTGCCTACTGGCGCCGTGAGGCCAAACTTGAGGCAGAACGGCTAGCCCCAGATAACATTGATGAAACCATTAATCAACTGACAGGGTTTGGGGAGTACACAGCTATAGACGCACAATTGCGGTTGCCAGAGGAGGTGATAGCGGGAGTACAACGCTGTGGCCTCGGCGCCCTCGGAAAACTGGCCAAGGGTACCGCTCTCCCCCTCCAACAACTAAAACAGAGGGCCCAGGAAACCGCCTTACAATTTATAAGCAGGGTGCAGACCACGGCAGAGGGGAAGTTTGGCGGTGGGCCCGCCACCCAACAATTGATCATCCAGCTAGTTAAGGGAGGGCTCACCCACTCTAAGGGCATCCTGGCGACCCTACCAGCTGACCCCTCACTGGAAGAAATAATTGACAAGGCTCTGGATGAGGGCCCCCCTCTAGACTCATTACAAACGTCAATTCAGACTTTAACAGAGGTGATGTTAGCCAGGGAGAAAGGGGGAAAAGGAGAGCAGCAGGGAAAATGCTACAGCTGTGGAAAGTCCGGGCACTTTCAATCTGAGTGCCGTAGCAAAGACAAACGTTGTATAAAGTGCTTTGTTTGCGGACGCCCGGGACACATAGCGAAGCACTGTAGGATTAAGGGACTAGTCAAGGGGACCAGGCAAGGGCCGGGAAACGGCGACTGGAGCCGGAAAACCGAGGGACCGGCTCCGAGAACCACTTCTTAAATCCCTCGGCGGTTCTGACTTTGAGAGAAGGGAAGGAGTTGGAACCATGGACCACTACATCGGCTGAAGTACCCCCTAGAGATTGGCCACGTCTAATCATAGGCACCGCCCAAGCGCCACAAATTATTGTACATACTCAGGTGCTGAGCCCCGTCAGACCACTATAACCCTTACCAACCCCCATGCATTCCCGATTCCCCTAAAAGAAGGAGAGCCCATTGCCACCGCCATCTCACTCCCCTGGCTTGATAAGAATTGGCAGGAACCGCAATACCGAAACACTTTTGTAGCTTGGACCCAAGCGATAACTACAGGCAGACCCACCATAGTGGTGGAGGTGGAAGGAAAGAGAATAAGAGGGCTCGTAGATACCGGGGCGGACGTCTCAGTCGTAGCGATGGAAGATTGGGACAGGAATTGGGAACTTTCAGAGGAGGAACTTAACCTCACAGGGGTTTCGGGGGGAACCCGAGCCAAAAAGTCCCGTAGATTCCTGAAATGGAGTCACGAGGGACAGTCAGGGAGATTCCGCCCCCTGTGCCTCCCCATCCCCACGTCATTATGGGGAAGAGATGTGTTGTCCGCCATGGGTGTCACCATTACCACCGACGCTCCGGAAAACCCCTGAGGGCCGCTGGTGGGCCGACACCCATCGCCCTAACATGGCGCACTACTGAACCCGTTTGGGTGGATCAGTGGCCCCTTACCAAGAACAAATTACAGGCCTTAGAAGAAATAGTAAGTGATCTACTTAAAGCCCAACACATTGAGCCCTCCACTAGCTCTTGGAACTCACCAATCTTTGTCATTCAAAAGAAGTCAGGGAAATGGAGAATGCTCATGGATCTGAGGAGGGTAAATGCAGTCTTAGAGCCCATGGGGGCCACCCAACCCGGACTACCAACCCCAGCCGCAGTGCCTAAGGGGTGGCCCTTAGTAGTCATTGATATTAAAGACTGCTTCTATAGCATCCCCTTGCACCCCAATGATTGTGAGCATTTCGCCTTTAGTGTTCCTTCCATAAATTATCAGGAACCCCACAAGAGATATCAATTCAAAGTCCTTCCACAAGGAATGGCCAACAGTCCCACCCTGTGCCAGATATTCGTAGCGCGCATACTGGCACCAGTCCGGAAGAGACACAAAGGGGCTTTGATCATCCACTACATGGATGATATCCTAGTGGCCGCACCTACCAAACCCGAGGTGTCAGAGTTGCTGGGCCAACTTACTGCTGCCCTGGCCGAACAAGGTTTGAAGGTTGCTCCGGAGAAGATACAAACTGGGCCCCCATATCACTATTTAGGGTACGAGGTCTGGGAGGACAGGGTGAGCAAGCTCCCAAACATTGACACCTCCCAGGTACGTACCCTTAATGACTTTCAAAGGCTAATTGGCGCCATTCAATGGCTCAGGAACACTGCCCCCATTACCAATAACCTCATGAGACCGTTATATAATATCCTCAAAGGGGCCTCCCAGCTCACCTCCCCACGCACGTGGTCCCCCGAAGCCCTAGAGGCCATGCGCCACATTCAAGAGATAGTGAAGGAAGCCACTGTCAGGAGGGTAGATGTCACACTGCCCTTGTATGTCACCTTGGTACACCACCATACCTTGGGGCGGGCTGCCGTTATATTCCAGGTCACGGGACCACTTCAGTGGGTCCATGCGGACCGCCCAAAAGGAAGCCTACCCAGTCGCCTTGAGGCGGATGGCCTCCTCTTACTCAAAGCCTCCTCCCTGGCACGGGTGCTTAGTGGCCAAGAACCACAACTGCTCCTCACCCAGCCCCTGCCTGCGCTACAACAACTCGCCCAGGACAGCGAACCTTGGGCTGTCTTACTCACCTCACTACCGGTTACGCAGGGCACCTTACCCCCATCTATGAGGGGGTGGGTCCAGCTGCCCCTCCGCTACCCTTCCAACCCGGTGATGCAAAACCCCGTTCTGGGGTGCAATGTCTTCACTGATGCAACAAAGAAGAATAAGGCTTCCATTTATATCCCCGATAAGCGCCTTCTCAAAGTTCTCCACACCCCCTACACCTCTGCACAGAAAAATGAACTCTTTGCGGTACGGGTGGCGCTCGCTCTCTGTGCCCAAGAACCCTTTAACTTGGTTACTGATAGTTATTATTGCTACTTTGCATTACAACACCTAGCTCTTGCAGATCTGTCCGTTTCTACCTCCGCAATTAGGGAGTTGTTTCAGGATATTCAGGCCTTGCTATTATGCCGTGTACACCCTCTTTATGTACTCCACGTTCGGTCTCATCAGTCCGCCAGTGGCCCCATTTTCTCTGGTAATGATATCGCGGATTCTGCCCTCCAAGCTAATCCATTATTCCTTATGCAGGTGGACCCTCAACAAGCCCATCATGTTTTCCATTTACCTGCAAAAATGCTAGTTCGCCTTTATGGCATCACCAGGGAAGAAGCACGCCGCATAGTACAGCAATGCCGCGCCTGTGTCCCCTTCCGGCCCCCCCCCCCAGCCAGGCTCCCAGCAACCCCCGGGGCCTCGCACCCAATCAGATTTGGCAGATGGATGTAACCCATTTCCACTCTTCCCTCATACATGTTTGTGTTGACACCTTCTCGGGATTAATAATGGCGTCCCTCCAACCTGGGGAGGCAGCCCGGCATGTGATCGCTCACTGCCTTCACTGTTTTGCCAGTCAGGGCCTCCCGCAGGTTATCAAAACCGACAATGGCCCTGCATATGCTTCCTCCGCTTTCCGATTATTTTGCCTTCGCTTTGGCATTCGGCACATTGCGGGCCTTCCTTACAACCCGACTGGGCAAGCCATCGTAGAACGGGCCAATGGGTCCCTCAAACGCACCCTTATTAAACAAAAAGGGGGAGTGCCAGGGAGGCTCACTGCCGCCCAACTGGCTCAAGCAGTGTTTACAAGGAACTTTTTAATTGAAGGAGAAGACCACATTACCCCTGCCATGAAACAATTGCTCGTGTCCTCAGAAAGTCCACCAGCGCTTCCGCTGGAGACTCCAGGTGCAAAGGAATGGGTCACAGTCTGGTGGAAAGACCCTGAAGGCCGGTGGCACGGCCCAAATAGGGTCCTAATAAGGGGAAAGGGGTTTATTTGTATCCAAACAGATCGTGGTCCCCAGTGGCTACCTACGAAAAACACAAGATTGTGCACCGACGAACCGACGAAGAAGGAGACACCGTCAAAAGAGGAGGCGTCGGAAGAACCGCACGGAAAAGAAAAGGAGAATGGATAAGTTGATGTTGCTCCTGGGGCTGCTTGGCAGCCTCCAGGTAACGTCCGGGGCCCATATTCCCCTACTCCGAACCACCAACTCCACACCACCCTATGTGTATTGGACAGTCATCCCAGGGTTTCCCCATGCGGCACCAGCGACATGGGTGGGTGACCCGGTGCCCCTGAGGTTGGCGGGATCAGGCTCCCTGGTCCTGGGCGGCCATAGCAGCCTTGGCCCAGTGGTCGCCAGGGTACTTAATAAGACAGTTACCTGGGAATCAAAGCATCTCCCCATATGCCTGACCAAGGCTGTCTCCGACCCGTGGTGTGCCCAGGTACAGAACATGACCATCAGAGAGACGCCACACGGGCCCCACTCCAACCTTGGTCAGGGGGATTTCTTACATATGTGGGCCATTGCAGCTAAGAATAGATCGGCAGCCTTCCAGCGCTTGCTGCAGGCTGCTGGGAGCAATTGCTCTGGGTCCAATAAGTCCAGGCCGGATGTCCCATGTAACAGGAAGGACTGGCTTAATGCCACCGGCTCACTCTTTGAGAACAGTGACCCTCCATCCTCCCCATTACCCCCTTGTCATCCCACTCCTAACATGTTTGATGTTATGCAAGTATGTTCTACAGGGCATCTGGTGTGGGGACCCGAGTTTAACACAACATCGAAAACTGAGGTGTACTTCATGGATGGATTCCCCGGACCCTACTTTCCTGCCCCCGTACCACACGTGCTGCATAACGCCACCCTGCAGACGCAACTCCACCTGTGGAAGGCCGCCGCTGCTTTCGGAGAGGTCATCCACATGACGGACAATTCCGCCCCTTTAGCGGATAATGCCACGATCAACTGAGCGTGGTTTGACCGCCTCTTTAAAGAAGGATACACATGCACCGAACACCTTCACAAGGGACACTGCAACAACTTCACAATTCATACACAAACTGTCCGAAATATGGACATGTTCCTCCTCTGTGAGAATGCCACCATAACTAACACCTCCCTTGGGCTTAACGTGACTTGCCCAAATGGGGGGAAGCTCACCAACACACTCATGTCCATCAACATAACTAATGAGACCCGGGTGTTCGTGCTCACGACACCCCCTCTGACCTTCTTGCCGGTAGGAACGGACAAGCCTTTTGCCGACTCGGATTTCTTTCGGGCTGTCCTGAACCGGGGTAAGAGGGGCTTTGAAGTGACTGCTGTGGACTTCTTTGGGCTAGTGGCCAGTCTGATAGAACAAGTGGAGATTAGCACCCTCTACAAGCGAGTAGGCCTAGTCGAAGATAATCTTAGGGATTTTATGCAGCTCACAACCAAGGCCTGGATTGCCCAACAAGACATTAATAAATTGGTGACCATAGAATTGTCGGCCCTTACATCGGCCGTGCAAGCCTTAGCCACCCTCATACAGGTTAACTCCGTGCTAGAGGGCCTCCCTTGCCATCATGTACTACCCAGGCCAATGTGCATGACGGCCGCCGTGCACAACGCATCCAGGGAGCTGGATGAGGCAATCCGGACCTTGAATGAGCATAGCAATATGTCTGACTATCTCAGACGCCTAGAAGATATAGTACTACAGATAAAGAATGAGACAGACCAATATAAGCAGCAGATACAAAAGGACCATGGCATTCTCCCCGAGTGGTTTAACCAGCTTGAATTGTCTAATTGGCTTAATTATGTACTGAGTATGGGAAGCATGGTTTTCTTTCTCTTGGTCATGTGTATATGCCTCCCCTGCTTGCTATCTTACGTGGTACGGCTTTGGCGTATGGTCTTAGAGCAAGTAAAAGCGGATATATTCCTGCGTAAACAAAAAGGGGGAGTTGTTAGGGGCGGTCGGCCCTAGACGCCTGAGCGGATAGGAACCTCCCTGGGAGTGAGAGCCCCCAATCCCAGAAAGACACGGCTCCCTACACGGGGTACGTGTAAGGATGGGATTGGGCGAGACTCTTTGCTCCATACAGGTGGCAGGTTTCGCCCTCGGGGCGGATTGGGGTGGCCACCCAGAAGACAGACCCTATATAGACCAACGCCCCAGCTTGCTCGGGGGATTCCTCCGCAATTAATAAAACATATGCCTCCCGAAGCAGTGTCTGACTGAGTCCCTGCCCGCCGTCCCCCGGGGAGGGAATCCGGAGACGTCCGAAGCGGAACCCACCGAGAGGAGCTCGCTCGGGGTCCGGCAATAGAACCGGACACATTACCACCATTATTATTACATTTATTGTCATTTAACCTCTCGGTGATCTAGGCAACTTTAAGGTTTTAAATTTCACAGAAGGTGCTGGCTTACAGGGGTTGATGACGTTCCTCACTGGGCATGCCCTTTACCAATGAAATCACGTGTCTACTATGCTACCCTTTGTCTCTATAAATTCAAGGCAGTAGTGTGACTGGTGAAAGATGAATTGACCTGAGCTTCTGAGCATATTGATTTATTAAGCAATGTGTACCAAATGCCCAACAAATCAGGACCAGATCCTTCATCAGCTTAGGGTTGGACCTTCACTACAGGGGAAGACAGATTTTTATATATTAAAAACAATCAATCCATTAAAGGGAAACAATTAACCAGGATACAATATTAGGTAGGATGATTTCTAATTGGAGGAAAGATTAAGGACTTTCCAAATTGAGAGGGAGAGAGCAAAGATGTACAATTCCCTGAAATCATAAAAAGAGGTATCTCCTTCACCCCAAGAATGGACAAAGGAACATGGAAACAATAATTGATTGATCAGTATGGGGCCAGTTTAAAGGGAACTGAGCTAGCTCCAAAATAGAGTCACAAGATGGAGTCAATGTGGTCCATTCAATTCCTGCAATTAATCACTTGCTGTACTATTTCCCTTAATTCTCTCAGTACTCTCTTTGATTTTCACCACCACTAGAATTATTTCTATTTGAAAAGGAAACTTGAAGAATGAAAAGATTGAATTTCCAATATGAAAATTACAAGTACCATGACAGACAATGGTGACATTTGGTGGGGAGGAAATGAAAGATTATTTCCAAGCTTCTTTTGAATTATGTCTTATATGCAGCTGCAGACTCTGGGGGGGGGGGGGGAGAATGACTTCCAAAATACACTTTCTAGCTGATTATAATTCCTTTGAGCGTTAACTTCACATTAAAACATATTACTTTCCTCAGTTGTCTCCCTGCTACACAGTCTTTTTCCAAAATCTGATTCAGTTTAAATGTTTTCAAATTGTAACTTCAAATACACAACAGGCCCAAAACAGGTAAAAGAAACGGATATAAATTTTCAAGTCGGCATGTAAATCACACTCAGAAAAATAAAATTCAAAGGCAAGCATTTTTTAACCTATTACCATAACATACACTCAGTTTTCTAGCAATGCTCTACTCCATTTTTTTTTAACAGAAGTAACTCTATTATCTTCACAAAAACCCTTCCTAGCTTCTGAGATTTTGTATTCATACCAAACACTGGTTGATGTTTAATTTATCGATGTTATGAATAGATACAAAAAGAGTTCATGGGGACAGAGGGCAGTTTATTATCATTGTTATCATTATTAACATTCTCAATTAAATCCTCTACAAATCCAACTACAAAGCTTTTGATCCAATCTAATTCTTATCCAAAGTCTCTTGTTAATGATCTTTGCTGAGTACAGTATGTCTAAGTATGCAATTGGGACATGAACAGGAACCACTGAAAATATTTCACTTTCAAAATAAGAAATGTAAAAATGAAAAACCTGCAAATGTCATGAATTAACTTGTAAAACTAAGCATCTGAGGCCAAATGTTGAATCATAATGCCTGATACACATTAAAAACATTAAATGTTGGTAGAATTTAATTAGCTCACTATGACTTAAAGACCAATGGTCATTCCAATTTAAATCTTTTCTCTTTCTAAGATTGGATCTGGGGTTTGATATTTTTTTTTAAGGCTACTGGGGTTAAGTGACTTGCCCAGGGTCACACAGCTAGTCAAATGTTTGATCTAAGGCCGGATCTGAACTCCAAGGTCGGTGCTCTGTCCACTGGATCTGGTGTTTGATACAAATGTGCTTGAACCCTAAACACCTCTGTTTTTCAGAAGACACAGTTTCCTTCAAGACTCAGTTCAAAAACCACCTTCTATATGAGGCCTTTCCTGATCCCCTACACTTATCCCCATAGGGAAAAAAATAAACAACACACACATATATACACATATACATACACACATGTGTGTATATATGTAAGTGTATATATATGTTTGTATATATATATGTATATTTACATACATATAATGTTGAAACTATGATCATAGGATTAAAGGTAGAAAGGACTTTAGAGATAATAATAGGTCACATTTATAAACCAACTTAAAGATTTTCGAAGTATTTTACATACATTATCTCATTTGATCCACATAACATTCCTGTGATAACTGAAGGCATTGAGTCATCTTCCTCCCTCTCTGTATCATATGAGGGTTGTGGTTAGCATTCTCTAAGGTCCCATCCAGCTCTAAAATTATCTTATTTTTTGATGCTACCTATGGACTTTAATGAATGAACTTTGTACTCGTGACTCCAAGTTTTTATCTAATCACTCATTTGCCCTTTTACATAATAATTTAATTTGAAATTGCCATTCACATAGTCCACAATACTATGGGCCTCTTTTGTCCCTGCTTTACAGATAAGGAAACTGAGCAGAGCAAGATTGAGCCCTCTAAGCCCTGAGACCAAGGTGGTGAAAGTTTGTCACTGAGTTATTGGGGGAATTTTGTGTATATTTGTTCATGCTATACCTTCAAAGTAAATATTCTTTTATGTAACTAACTGATGTTGAGTGGATAAGTGGAACTGAGGTGTACTTAGTCACCGAGAACACTCACAGTGGAGAGAAATAGCTGGTGGGGGCTTGAGCAGATAGAATTAGAAAAGATACATCTCCTCACTCCCACCCTTCCCCCTCAGAACCCTGCAGCCTGGCCCAGGGGTAGAGTGAGCCAAAGAATACTTGCTACAGACGTACCTGTTGGCTTGCATGTTGTCTCCTACGTTAGAATGGGAGCTCCTTGATATCCAAGGGTATCTTTTTTGTATTTCTTTGCATCCGCATTGTTTATGACATAAAGTAATCACTTAATAAGTTCTTTTTACTGAACTAACTGACTCGTTGGGTAGCCTCTGATGTTTTGGTGGATTGACAGAGTATCTCTCCTAATCCCCCTTATATTACAAATTAAAAAAAAAAAACTGCGGCACATGCTTTTGCCAAAAAGAAGTAGCATCACTAGGAATGGAACATAGGTCCTCTAGCTGAAACCTAGTGGTGTTTGCATTATACCTTGGCTATAAAATGTTAACTTTTTTTTTCCTTTTCAGGGTCAGAAAAATATCAAGTCAGACTATACCATAGCTATGTGAATGACCAAGGAAATTATTATGCTTAAAGAGAAAAATGGGTGATTAGATGAAAATTTGGAGTCATTAATGCAAAATTCAGTCATTAAAGCCCATGGGTAGCACCAAAGAATCATGAAATTTTACAGCTAGATGGGACCTTAGAGAATGTCAACTGGAATACTCACATGGTACAAAGAGGGAGGAAAAGGAATCATTGGCTTTGTTATTGAGAACAATCATTCTATTTAAAAAAAATCATGAAATCAGGCCTGACTCCTCCCTGGAAAAAACAGCCCATATAATTCACACATATT